AAATTTAAAGTCATGGAAATTACGGGACAAACACAAAGGTCATAGGCACAGGTCAGACCATAGGTCATAGGTCAAAATAGTTTAATGCATCTGAAAGAGCAATAAATAAACTTTCATTTAAGTTGTTGTTCACAAAATTTATTAAAAATAATTATATTAACATTTTACTTCGAAAACAACTATTCATTAAATTATGTATAAAATATAGTAAAGATTTAATATATTTTAACAAAAATATGTTATTCAGTTTATTATTATATAAATATTTATAATTAATTAAAAAATATACAGTTTAAACGTTTTAGCTTATTATCTTATCATATTGTCCTGATAATAGAATTGAGGGGTTTCCAAGCTGGTCACGCTAAATGAAAATTTTTATTAAATATTGAATAAATTTAGAATTAAAAGGAATTTTTAAAAATTCTTTCATATTTATAATCAGCGCCATATTTTGCATATATTAAGCTACTTTAAACTACTAATAACAATAAATTTCCAATTTTTTGGTCATTAGTATGGGACATCCTATGTCACATTTTATATCACCCTGGCTCTATAAACAATTGGATTTTTGTGAACAACAACTTAAATGAAAGTTTATTTATTGCTCTTTCAGATGCATTAAACTATTTTGACCTATGACCTATGGTCTGACCTGTGCCTATGACCTTTGAGTTTGTCCCGTAATTTCCATGACTTTAAATTTTTTATAATTTTATTTTAATTGGATAAGATCTGCATTAAATAGATGTATATAATACTGTTTACCGATTTTGGACACGACTTTTAACAAAAAAGTTGTTAGTTTTGCCAAACTTATTTTCACTTGTACTACCTTATATAACGAACAAAAGTAAACAAATTTTGATTAATTTAACATAAATCACAAAAATTGAAACTTTTTCTCGAAGCGGTCTAAAGGTTTTCATGAATTGAGGCGAATGTTATCCATAGAAGTGATTATCATTTGTATATAATTAGAAATCGTAAAAGTCTTATAATTTCACCCGTAATTTCCATGACTTTAAATTTTTTATAATTTTATTTTAATTGGATAAGATCTGCATTAAATAGATGTATATAATACTGTTTACCGATTTTGGACACGACTTTTAACAAAAAAGTTGTTAAAGTTTTGCCAAACTTATTTTCACGTGTACTACCTTATACTTAAGAATCTTAAGTTAAGACATTAATTGCCATTGAGTTTAGTAGTATTAAGCAATTGCCTCAACAAGAGATCAGTGAAATGCTTCCGATATTACTCATTATATTCAGTCTATCAGTGATTGAAAGCAAAGACATTTGCAGTCAATACATGCAAACGAATGGCACATATCATAGCATTCATATGTACCGGCACTGGGATCTGGATCTTTTCGGGTCATTAGTTAACAAGTATATGATGTACACAAAGACAGACAAATGGGAGTTTAGTATTGAGATGTCTGTCCCAACACTACAGGTGGTGATGAAGTGGAATACTATCGAACAAATGGATAAACCTATTGCTCAAAGTTTCTCAGGTATTGTCACCAGTGGTAAAGCGGGTTATGAAACTAGGTACTCTGATAGCTACCACTGTAATGTGACTCAAACGGTAAGAGTTTAAACATAAAATGTAAGATTTTATAAGTTTTTATTTGCAATTTTAATCTACAGTTGAATCAAATCGTGTGTTTCATCGGCGGTACAAATGATTCAACCTCTTTTCCCATTAGTATCACCAAAAGTGAACTTATATTCAGTCCACGAGTGGTTATTTTGAGAAACATTGAAAACACAGTCACTAAAAGCTATAACATAGTAGTGGACAGACATAACCGGACGACTAAATGCCTTATATATAGAAGAGATAGATCTCAAGGTTTATCTGGCAAAAGTGATGAACAAAATCTGACCAAAACTGCCATTACATCAGATCCTAAGTGCCAACCGCCAGCCTTTACAAACCAAATATCCGACCGATTGTTGGCACAGTTGGAAGGAGTGGTCGACTACTCAATGGACGGACAGTCGGGACATATGCTGTGGTTTAACATCAAAGGACAGCCCAAGTATTGTTTCATAACTGAAAACCAGTATCTTTCTGAGCAGGTATTGAATGAAAGTCATAAATGAATTTTTAAAAACATGTCATAAATTTGTATACTTTTAGTGCAATTCTATAGAGAATATGACTGCCTTCGAGTGTCACAATTCAACATTTAATACAGATTCTGAAGATCCACAAGAATTTCCCACAGAATTACTCATTGTTTGCATAATTCTGGTCATAATTGGAGTGATTCTCGTTTATGCAGTTTTTGTCACCAATTATCACAAACGCAAACAAATGTCAATCAATACCATTGTACCGGACTTTAGCTCTAATGAAAACACTATAAATCCTTCAGAGACGACAACACATGAATCCAAAGGCATCTCATTGTCTAACATCGGAGAGACCGTCAGAAATGTCAACAAAAAATAGGCAATAAATTCAAATCAAAAGAATTATTCAATTGTTAATTATAAAGTTTTAAAGTGTTTTTTGTGTGATTTGTTTAGCCATTAAATTCATTATTTAAATTTGAGATAAAAATGTGATAAAAGTGCTAAGAATTTACATATTATAACAGAAATTGTTATTCAAAACTATTCCTATAGTCTTTGATTCACATAATTGTTTGAATTGAATATTTATTTACTTTATTTAATAAATTGTCATAATTTCGTTTCAATTTAATGTATTTTATTTAAAATATTGACAACACATTAAGATATCAAAATATTATTTATTAAATGATTATTTAAGCGATCGCATAATCTGTCAAATGCTTATATAATACAAGTCAATGTATTATTTAGAGTAAATTCAGTCTAAATAAATAACACTCAATCTGGTATACCGTAAAAACTTTAATATACAGTATCTATTTTAAACTTATAATTTATAAGTTATAAACAATAGTTAATAAACTATAAAATTTATAAAAATTTAGTATAAATGATATTTCAAGTGATAATAAAAATGACAATTATTTTGAGCTTAATGTCAGTGACTTTTATTCATGAGTTTTCGCGTTTCCATTAATATTAACATTCATTTGATTTCCACAAAATTCAAACACAAGAGCTTTGAAGTGATGGTTAAGACATTGCCACGAATGAGAGTAACAGACTTGAATGATAGGACTGGTAGATGATGGCATCGCCTCATCACTAGGCCTCAGCTCAGGGCTATACATATGCAACAGTTTCCCGGTTTTGATTGACCAGAATCTCACTATATTATCATCACCTGAAGAGCACAACACGTCCACACTTTCATCCAAACTGAACCCTATTTTGGAGCAACTATTGCGGTGATGACTATATTCAAGAACTGGTTTCTCAAACATTCGTAAATCACTTAAACAGAGACTATTGTTATGACTGCTGGCGATCACACTCTTATCATCGGAAAGTATGTCCAAATTCATGACACTTCTGTTGCCGAGCGATAACGAGAACCTTCTGTTGAGGTCATTATCCTCTCGAATGTCGAAACAAGACAAGTGTCCCCTATTGGTGCCGGCCATGAAGAACTTGCCATCGGATGCCGTCTTAAGGGCAGTGATTCTGTGGTTAAACCTAATTATCTTAATAGTTCCCGATTGGGACGGCTTGAACACATAAATCTGTTTCTCGCCGCCCAAGACATTCAGGTCATCGAAATGAGTGGCACTGAAGATGGGTTCGGAAAACTCGTAGGTCTGTCGCAACCTATCGATTCCGAACTGATACCGGCGGTCATCCCATGGATCGGCCGTAACGGCGGTCAACGCAAAACTCGTGTCAATCCGAGTGGGCGTCGGGAAGTGATGGGTGAGTGTCGCCAACCGATCGCAACCACCGGCGCCATCGATATACGAGATATCAATCACTCGATTGGGTTTTGGGAACAAATTCATTAAGCGCTTCGTGTGAGTCGTGCGATAGTCGACGCTGAAGACGTCATCCACCGATATCTGGTAGACAGCGGTTCCCGTGTCGCCCCTCATAACCGCATACAACTTGTCGTTCGCCGGGGAACCGATCACCGCGTCCACGACAACCCCTTTCATGTCATTACCGCACGAGTCGATCACTTCTATCTCTTCACTCTTGAGCGGACGGATGGACTTAAGGTGCGAACGAATCACTTCTTCGCGCAGATTATATTTGGTGCGGAAATTGATTTCTTGATTGCGAAGAGTTTGCGGCAAATGAACGCTACGTTCATTCTTCCGGTACGAGTCCATCGACTTCGCGACCTCCTTCTGGCGCACATCCTCGGGAGTCACGCGATTCAGACCACTGTTGGCCGACTCGATCCGGAAGTACTTCTTCTTGCGCTCGTCGTAATAAAAGCCCGGGATTTCCATCGGATCCACAGGTGATGNCTTCGCGACCTCCTTCTGGCGCACATCCTCGGGAGTCACGCGATTCAGACCACTGTTGGCCGACTCGATCCGGAAGTACTTCTTCTTGCGCTCGTCGTAATAAAAGCCCGGGATTTCCATCGGATCCACAGGTGATGATCATCGAGACGAAGGCGTAAATCGTGAAAACTTTGCACTCATTTGACACACATTTCAAACTGATATCAATACACAAATAGTGACTCACAGTGTGGGGGGAGTTGTCCACACGTTTTGACACATTTATTGCATTCACGTAAACTTTTTTCGTAACTATAGATACACTTCGCGCCGATATCTCAGTCATAAAACTGACTTTAATTTGCGACAAAATTATCTAAATATAAATACTCACAAAACAATCGTTAGTTTATTTAATTAAAAACACAATAAAAACTGCAAACCAATGGTGTATCTGAATGGGGGAGTCGTGCGAAAGCATTGCCTCGTAATTGATATGAGGCCTCAAAAAGTGCCAAAACGTGGCTTTTCATCGAAATTCACGCATATTTTCGGTGCAAACGTCGCGACAATTAGTCCATCGATTGACACAACCATCCACTCAAAGACCACATACGTTGACCGCAATCGGTGGCCAACGCTCTCATAGATTAGATCCACGAGTGGTGTCTTAACCGGCGAAGCGATGGCAACTCAGGACAAGTTAACCCGTATAGCGATCGTCAATACCGACAAATGCAAGCCTAAGAGGTGTCGACAGGAGTGCAAGAAGTCGTGTCCAGTGGTCCGGATGGGGAAGTTGTGTATCGAAGTCACGCCGAACGACAAGATAGCGAAGATCAGCGAAGACCTGTGCATCGGGTGCGGTATATGCGTGAAGAAGTGCCCCTTTGAGGCCATAACTATCATCAATTTGCCATCCAATCTGAGTCGGGACACAACCCATCGTTACGGACAAAACACATTCAAATTGCATCGCCTGCCGACCCCCCGGCCCGGGGAGGTGTTGGGTCTGGTGGGCACCAACGGTATAGGCAAGTCCACGGCGCTCAAGATATTAGCCGGCAAACTGAAGCCAAACTTAGGTAAGCGATCACCGCTTCATGTCTTTGCCGCCACTCATTACGCATTGATTTATGGCACCGACAGGTCGTTACGGGTCAGACCCTCCCGACTGGACAGAGATTCTGACGTATTTCAGAGGATCCGAACTCCAGAACTACTTCACCCGTATCTTAGAGGACGAGTTGAAGGCCATAATAAAACCCCAATATGTGGACCAAATACCGAAAGCCGTGTCCGGAGTGGTGGCCGGACTGTTGGACAAGAAGAACGAGAGAGAGAACAAGGATTACGTCTGCAAAGTCTTGGATCTGACGGAAACCATTTGCAGCCGAAATGTGGCTGATCTGAGTGGTGGAGAACTGCAGCGCTTTGCCATCGCTATGGTATGCATTCAGAGCGCCGACATCTTCATGTTCGACGAGCCCTCCAGTTATCTGGACGTCAAGCAGAGGCTGAAGGCCGCGGAAGCCATTCGCGATCTGATCCAAGCGGACAAATACATCATTGTTGTCGAGCATGACTTGTCTGTATTGGACTACTTGTCCGACTTTATCTGCTGTTTATACGGAGTGCCCGGCGCTTACGGTGTCGTAACGATGCCTTTCTCTGTGAGGGAAGGGATCAACATATTCCTCGACGGTTTCGTGCCCACAGAGAACCTGCGTTTCAGGGAAACGGCGCTTGTGTTCAAAGTGTCGGAGACGGCGACTGAGGAGGAAGTGAAGCGCATGTGTCGATACGAGTACCCATCGATGGTCAAGCATTTGGGCAAAAACTTCGAGCTGTCCGTCCAGTGCGGGACGTTCACCGACTCGGAGATCATAGTGATGTTGGGCGAGAACGGCACGGGAAAGACGACGTTCATCCGTATGCTGGCCGGTAATCTGAAGCCAGACGAGGGCGAGTCGGATGTGCCGACTCTGAACATCAGTTATAAGCCGCAGAAGATTAGCCCCAAATCGCAGGGAACGGTACGGATGTTGCTGTTCGAGAAGATCCGCGACTTCTTCAATCACCCGCAGTTTCAGGCGGAGGTCGTGCGGCCGCTGCGCATCGAAGAGATCATCGATCAGGAAGTGGTGAACCTGTCGGGCGGTGAGCTCCAGAGGGTGGCTCTGGTGTTATGTCTGGGCAAACCGGCCGACGTCTACCTCATCGACGAGCCGTCGGCTTATTTGGATTCCGAGCAGCGATTGGTCGCCGCGAAAGTGATTAAGAGGTTTCTGTTGCACTCGAAAAAGACCGGCTTTATAGTGGAGCACGACTTCATTATGGCTACATATCTGGCCGATCGGGTCATTGTGTTTGAAGGGGAGCCGTCGGTGAAGACAGTGGCGACCACTCCTCAGACACTATTAGCCGGAATGAATAAATTCCTGCAACTGTTGAACATTACGTTCAGAAGAGATCCCACGAACTTTAGGCCCAGAATTAATAAATTGAATTCAGTTAAGGATACGGAACAGAAGAAGGGCGGCAACTACTTCTTCCTCGAGGACTAACTGATGGCATACGCACCACAAGAACGCGTGAAGACATCAACTCATTTGAAGACATGGCCGCAGAAGTCGAGCCATAAGTTCGGCTCAAACTGAGCGCAAGTTTTTTGGGTATTATTTGAATTGAAACAAAGTTTTGAAGTTTTTATATTATGTATTAATATAACGATTGTCTGATTAATCGGTTATTAGTGTTTTTCAAATGAGTTGTTTTCATGTGATTTAATATTTTTTAAATAAATTTAATAAAATTAATTAAAATTCAATGCAATTGTAAAGCGTTTGTCTGGTTTTATAGTGTTTAGTCTGGACTCTCTCTCTCTCTCTCTCTCTCTCTCTCTCTCCAGTGTTTCAGTGATTGTTGGGAACCGATACCAAGTGACCGGACATTCTTCAGCAGACTTACCATCACTTGTTGACAACTGTTGACACAAATCACATGTTTATGAGTGCAATGACTGACCATATATTACGTCAATGTTTACTACTGTCACTGCAATGACACGTATTTGTGTACCAAAAAGTGCTAAATCATGGACTCATTGATCAATGACTGGCGGATTGACCACTGATTTCGTCATCCGAGTCGAGACTATTCCAGAAAATTGGACCACTTTTTGCATATAAGAGTGGATTCTGTGTTCAAATGAGCCATTCATTGAGCTAACGATTGGACCATTAGTTGAGCTCATTATTGATCACAAATATAGCACTTATTGTCCATTAGTTTTGTATGAATTATACATAAAAGCAATCATTTGTTGGTTTGTTTCGTACGATTGGATCACGTCTTTGACGATCACCACAAGAAGTGATGGAATTTCCAGATTTGGGTCAACACTGCTCTCACAGTTCGTGCCATCGATTGGGTAAGTCTTCACACAATTACTGATATATCACTCAATGACTCTTTGAGTGAATGAGTGGTCATCTGATGGCCAAACCCGTGACTAATGTGTTGATATGACCGCAGACTTCCTCCCCGTCCGCTGTGACCTGTGTTCGGGTGTCTTCTGCGCCGACCACTACTCCTACTCATCGCACGGCTGCGAGAAGGGTCTCCATCTGGACAATCAGGTCCCGGTGTGTCCACTCTGTGACAAACCTGTGCCCATCAAACGCGGGGAACTGCCGGACATAAGGGTTGGCCAACACATAGACCTCGACTGCGAGTCGGATCCGGCGCTCAAGAAACGCAACCAAATCTACCGAAACAAGTGTTGGGTTAAGGGATGCAAACAGAAAGAGTTGGTTCCCTTGTTATGCAACGACTGTCACCACAACTACTGCCTGAAGCACAGACACCCGGCCGACCACACCTGTGAGCCCACCCGTACAGCCCCGGCCGCCAGCGCCGTCTCGATGGCCGGCTCTGCGGCGATGAAACGCTTCGAGCAAATGAAGACAAATGTGACGCAAAGAGTGTCTCAGATGTCGAGTCAGATGTCCATGAAGTCGAGCCCACAGTCCGTGAGATCCCATTCCAACGACGTCTTCGGCGTTCAGGGAAACTATAGCGAAGACGAGGCCTTAGCGCGCGCTCTGCAGCAGTCGATGTTAGATGAGAACCATTCCTCCGGTGCGACCAATACTACTCAATACGACAGAGATTTGGCGAAAGCGATTGAGGAGTCGCAGAGGAATGCCGTCAGGAATAAAGACAAATGCAGTGTTTCTTGAGGTGTAGTCATTAGTTATAATTAGAAATCAATTGTTTTTTCATGAAATCTTTTATACTTTTATTTTTAAT